TTTAAAAATAATACATACCGTGCAGTTTTTGCTAGATTATTAATCTGAAGAAATCTGTTGGATAAGTCAGTAGTACTCCGCAAACATGTCGAAAGTCATGATGGACTACAGAGTGTAAGTTGATTTTAGATTAATAAAATTTAAATATTGTGTAATTATACATTGTAATTTTATGATGCTTATGTGTTTATCCTATTTTTGGAAGTTTGATTAAACCTCTTTTATCTTTTATTATCAACGCGAATTTCAGGGCTTTTAGTATGTATGATTGTGAGTAAGAGTAGAAAGATTTGAAAAATGACAAGTTGTTTCGTTCCAAATTTTACACAAAAATTGTATACAAAATATTATAGTTAGGAATGTGATGTTGATATTTCTATTAAGAGTTTAATAATCGGACATAACATTATTAAAAACATATGAATTTTTGTAAAAATATATTTTAAAATAGTATTTTTATGATGTTTCTGTATTTATCCTATTTTTGGAAGTTTGATTAATCTTCTTTTATCAACGCAAATTTCAAGGTTTTTAGTGTGTATGATTGTGAGTGAGAAGAGAAAAATTTGAAAAATGCCAGGTTGTTTCTTTCCAAATTTTACACAAAAATTGTATACAAAATATTGTATAGCTAGGAATGTGATGTTGATATTTCTAATAAGAATTTAATAATAGGACATAACATTATTAAAAAGCGTGAATTTTTGCAAAAATGTATTTTAAAATAGTATTTTTATAATGTTTCTGTATTTATCCTATTTTTGGAAGTTTAATCAAACTTCTTTCATTAACGCGAGTTTCAGGGCTTTTAGTATGTATGATTGTGAGTGAGAGTAGAAAAATGTGAAAAATGGCAGGTTGTTTTGTTACAAATTTTACACACGAATTGTATACAAAATATTGCATAGTTAGGAATGTGATGTTGTAAAAATGTATTTTAAAATAGTATTTTTATGAAGTTTCTGTATTTATCCTATTTTTGGAAGTTTGATTAATCTTCTTTTATCAACGCAAATTTCAAGGTTTTTAGTGTGTATGATTGTGAGTGAGAAGAGAAAAATTTGAAAAATGCCAGGTTTTCTTTCCAAATTTTACACAAAAATTGTATACAAAATATTGTATAGCTAGGAATGTGATGTTGATATTTCTAATAAGAATTTAATAATAGGACATAACATTATTAAAAAGCGTGAATTTTTGCAAAAATGTATTTTAAAATAGTATTTTTATAATGTTTCTGTATTTATCCAATTGTTTGAATTTTGTTCAAACTTATTTCATCAACGCGAGATTCAGGGTTTTTAGTATGTATGATTGTGAGTGAGAGTAGAAAAATTTGAAAAATGGCCGGTATTAATTTAATTTAATAACATTATTAAAAACATGAAATTTTTTAAAAATGTATTCTAAAATCCATACGTTTCGATTATAGTCTTAGCCTTTGTTCAATGAAAAAATTGTTTCTAACTAGTTTTACAGATAACACATATATTACACAGTTACTATTTTGTGAAAATTGTTAGGTTAGTAAAATTGTGAAAAATTTTTATAAGTACCACAGATTTAATGTTGATATTATACAATTTAGTGCATTAGAGTAAATTCATAACATGCATTATTGTTTTTGGGATATGCAAATTTTATATCCGAATGAATGCCTAGGACTATAGCCAAAACGTATAGATTTTATAATAAATTTTGAAAGAAAATCTTGTTTTTTATTGATGTTATGCCCGATTATTTATCTTGATTCTTTAGTTAACTAGTGTTGCATGGCATCGTGCCCAAATTGCTTGAACTTTTCGTACCAAAAATCAAAGTTTTTAAAAAACTTTGAAAATAAATGGATTTTTGAGATTTTTAAATTTTTAAAAAGAAAATTGCCCTTTTAAAAAAATTAAATTTTATGCTTTGAAATGTTTTGAAAATTTTGAATTTTTTTTAAAGCGATCGCGATACGTTAGATACGAAGAAACGAAATATAGAAGCGCGTGGGCGCCGCGTCGCAGTATAACGGATAAACATTAGTACTTGTCAGCATTCTCTGCTAAATATAATTATTTTTATAGATTGCAGAAAAAAAAAAACATTAGTACGGAACCCATTGAAACGCAAACAAAATTTGTTCTTATTATTAAAATATCTATAAAATATGTGATAATTTGATGCGCATATGTCTAATGATCATTTTTGTCCGCCAAATGGCATATTTTTAAACTTTTTTGTATTGGATCTCCGAAACCGCTAAACCTGCCTTTCCAAAAATTTCATCAGTTATTCATTTCGTCAGTACAAATAAAATGCTTTTTGAATCATTCAAATCGGATGCCCTATTCTCTCAAAAATTGAATTACCATTTTTGGCACTTTTTGCCTCGTATTTTTGGAACGGCTAAACCTGCCTGTTGTCAAAAACTAATCAGCTCGTCTCCTTATCAACAGGAATCGAATGTTTTTTGAATTATTCAAATATTTTTTTATAGCTGGCAACCCAAACAGTTGTCAATTCTCTGTGATGAATGATTTTTTATTGGTGCAGATATACTGGATATTTTCACTTGGAAACATATTGTTACATATATTTCCAAATATACGTCACTACTGCTTGACATCATGCTGTCAATTCGAAGCAATTTGTAGAAAATCACGACATCTGACAATAATGACTTTGTTTGTCTCGTATATTCTGACTTTTGTTTACTTTCCTTTGGCTTCAGCTAAATTTATATGATGTCGTACATCATATATATATTGTATATATGTTAATTGAGCTCGGTTCTTTTCTTACCCATCATTAAAGGCACGCGATATTGTTTGACGTATTTCCCAACTATTGATTCAAAACCTAGCAAGGTACGAATAAAAAATTGAGAATGCTGCGCAATAATAAATGAGACTTGCCATAATTCCGGTATCGTGCAGTAGTGATATCCATCTCTGTTTTGAAATTAGAAACTATAACATAAAACATCAAACTTCCTGAAATTTGTTCTAATTAAAATTATTACTGTTTATATTAATATATTGTTAATAATTTGACAGTTATATCTAATTTTTTGGCATTAATACATTGCTATTTAACGTTTTAAAATTAACAGAAATTTTTATTTCCGACCTTATTATTTTGTCTGTCGACATGGTTTCGCTTAGTTTTATTAGAATGTAGTAATTACACTGTATAGCGCTTTCTTAAATGATCAATGATAATGATTGTGTATTAAATGACCTACTTTCTTCAGTAATACTACATGGAAAGAAATTTAAATGATCTTCGGGCAACTATTTTCTCCGTTAAGAAAATAACATTTACATGCATTATAAATAAATTTGAACTATTTTATCAAGAACGACTATAAAATAATGAAATTTTATTCAAAGGATTTGTGGAAAACAAATTGAAATATATCAAATTGTTGGTACTCTAGTACTTTTCACACAGTTCTTATGATAAAAAGTGGGCTTGAAAATAAGGGTCACTTTTGCATATTTTTAGTGATTTCTCAGCTAAATGATGAGTTAAATTGAAAATTGGTATATTGATTTTTGTTTGTTGGAATAACCCATTAAATGGCGAATAAATTGTTTATTTAAATGCCAATTTGTGTGGCCAATTTTGTATTGAAAAACAGTTTCAGAAAGATATATAATTAAGAGCAAAAGTTTGTCATCAAAATTGTTTTAAACAAGCATTCTTCCAGTTATTAAAAAATAAAACTAAACTATGTTTAAATTAATTTTTAATGATTTTCCCAACGCTTCTAGTTTGTTTTACCTATTTTTAGTGTGTAAAACTATAAAACATAAAATGAAAAAATAATATAATAAAATTTATAAAGTAATCAATCAAAATATTATATTGTAATGTAAACAATTTAGAGAAGTGCAGAAATCATTTATTTAAAAAAACATAAAATCTATACACAAGAACAAAAGAACTTTGGTCAATATTTCAAGTTTTATCAAAAATATAACCTCGAACGCTGATCAAACATTCTGATCATTTATTGCAAATAAATGAAATTGAATTTTCACATTTTAGAGATTTCTGCCTAGATTGTAACTGCATATTTCCACATTCCAGGTTCTGTTTTATTTTAAACATCTTTGTTGCGAATTGCTCTTAATATATAATTCAGCCTAAAATTATTTTTTTTACCGTATAGTATTTTTTTATTTAATTAAAAAATACTATGTTGTACAACACTGTACACTATTATTATTTGTAATATTTTCTACATCATCATAACCATAATTATTCGATGTTAAAATATTATTTTCTTGAGTTATAACATAAAAAATCGTGACAATATTTATAAAAATGTATCAAAAAGGTAGTTCATTCATATATTTTATTAAAGCAAAAAATTTTTTGATACAACTCAATTTGTTCTTTTGTTCACTTCACTTAAGAAAATAATATTATGAATACCACTCATAAATCACTGAATATATTATGAATGCAGTTTGAGGTAGTTATTTAATCAAATTTTCAGATTGTTAAAGAACGAAGTTTTGATAAATTCAGATTGACTATCAAAGAGGAAAAGGATCTTAACGATAGATGAACAAAATTTGCTAAGAACAAGACGAGCGAGCAAATCAGATAAACCACGTCTACCTCTGACTGAATCGTGAAGTTGAAATTTGAAGCTGAAAATTATATTTCAGGAATAATATCGCTTGAATTGATATTTTTTCTGCAAAGAACAAAGATATAATTATAAAATATAGATAATTAATACAGTGAAGCTACCTGAATTTGGGGACTGAATTACCATCATTCAGTAATATAGTACTTAATTAATATACTTATAATTAATACTTTAAATTAACTTCCAAAAATTGACACAATTATTCTTATATTGAGTCTAACGTCACTTTAATTGAAAAATTTGGACAGGTGTTCTAAACGTTTCGCAACCAAATATATCAAAATCAAAATTGATATTGATCATTAAGAGTCAAAACAAGTAACGTTATTCTAGATCTAGATCTAATTATATTTGTTTACTAATATCAAAAGGAAATATATTCTTCTGTAAGTTTTTAACATCCGAATGCTATCTGTAGCAAATGATAATCTGGGTGGCGGAGACCGTAAACAGATAAAAAAGTCTTCGCCTGCGAGTGAAGTAGCGACTTCTTCGGTGAATTCGAACGAAGTCAAAACGTCGGACGAAGGGAATCCCTCATTTTCGAGGGAGGTGGATAAGACATTAATTCCACCTTCCACAAGCAGTTCCGACGACTCCGTTACAAACGAATCATCTGATGATACCGAAACAAAGGACTCTAGCTTGGACGACATTTTAGCAAACAGAGAAAGGCCTAATAAAACTAAAATTAGAATAACAAAAGCTTCCAAAGAAAAACGAGAACATCTGACAGGCGAACTGGTCAAATCACTTGCTGACAAACATAGCAAAGTGTTATCACATAACAATATTCTAAAAATACAATATATGACTAATGATCAGTCTAGTAAACTTAATAACTCGTCTGAAAGTTCTGAAGACTATCAACCCTTTCCGAAAAATCTAGTTCAAATCGAAGCCAATACTCAAGAAGTCGAAGTCGTGGAAGTAAATACCGTAGAAGCCAATACATCAGAAGTCAACAACAAAGGACTAACTGCTATAAAAGTTAGGAAAACAGAGATAAAAAATACGGGCTTCCAAATAGATATAGAAGAGAAAAACGCGGAACCTAGTGCTGGCACAGAAAAGGTACAAGAAGCGAAAGCAGCAACTTTGCAAACCCATTCCAATGGGCTCGAGGAGGATAAGGTTGTAAGATCGTTGAAATCACACGAATTACCTTCTATCCAGCCTATTCCGATATTGGATGTAAGTGAAGTTGGCGGCGAGTTTACAGATGTACCTGATGATTCAGCTTTATTAAGGATGAGAAAAATTTTGCCTTATTTTGTTCGTGGCCGAGTTGTTGCCGGCTTTGGAAGAGGATCTAGAGAGCTTGGTATACCTACAGCCAACTTTTCGAAAGAAGTCGTCGATGATATCCATGACGATCTATGCCCAGGAGTGTACTACGGATGGGCGAAAGTAGATCCTTGGCCCGTGATGAAGATGGTTATGAATTTAGGCTGGAATCCGTATTACGAAAATAGAATAAAATCATTGGAAGTTCATATCTTATATGACTTTCCGTGCGATTTTTATGGTTCTCATATGAGGATTTGCATATTGGGGTATATAAGACCCGAAGCCAAGTTTAATTCGATGGAAGATTTGATCAAGTCCATTCAGCGGGATACGGAATTAGCTAAGAGTCTTTTGGATAATCCCGATTGCATGATGTATCGTTTTCACGAATATTTTGGATGCGTTTGCGAAGAACCTTCTAATGGCTGACAGTACTATTACAGACAATTTTTATGAATAAATTAGTGTACTTAGGACAAGTACTTACAATTAAAGTACTTATACGTTTTACCAGGAGCAGTGTAAATCATACAACTGAAGAACCAATAATTTTGCCAAGTTATATTTCGGTATTCAATTGTATCTATGCATTTTGTTTTAAGATGATCTGTGCTATTTATTTATGTATTATTTTTTACTAAGTTACTTGTTTTAATAAATACTCAAAAGCCCTCTTACCTCTATACCGTAAAATTATAGTTTACATTTTTTTATTTTGAGTTAAAAGTTTAAGCATGACATTGTAAACTAAGCACAATTACGCACAATTCGCAGATATTAGTATGGATCATATATTTATTTTACATTACTGACTTTTATTTTATTTTATTTATTATCTTTATACTTAACCTCATTAATTATGATGATATATCGAATTTATTTATTAATAGATAATATATTGCTAATAATATATGATGATACACTTACTTTATCTGAATTCTATATAAAAATAAGTAGTACATTACTAACATTTTACAGGGTTTTCTTTGTTAAGAATCTAATGGATGGTAATCATTGTTACAATAAAGATATTTATACGTGTTTAAAACAATGTTTGTTATTACAAAACAATTTCAGGATAAACTATATCATTTTATCTTCTTTATTTTTTTCTTTTTGAATAGTTTATTTTAGTGAATTAAAAAAGATACAACATCTAGTGGTACATCTTTGATATATTGGTTCTAAATGGTCTTTTGCGTTATTTTGAAGTTTGTTCAATTCATTTGTTTTCTTTTTATGGGTCCTGCTTGCATTTAATATGCGTTCTTTAATCTAAAATAAATTTTCCTCGATTTAAAAAATTTGATATACATCACATGAATTAAATTTAACAACTAATTGCTTTTTTAATGTGATTGAATACCAGATTATTTTTAAAATTTTATTACCATGATATTCCAATACAGTAATGAATATTTGCCGTAAATATTTTTATGACTAAATATTTGCATCACTTTGCATGTCAATGTACAATTTATGTCAAAATTTGCATTTGGTTCTTATCATGCGTTTATTTCTGATAAGAATAATTTGTTGGAACTGGATTTACAGACCAAGGCTATAGTTAACAGACCTCATGCCTTCGATTTATAAATGCTTGATCATGCTTTAGCGACATAATTTTGAGATAAAAAAATGATGATATAATTGCACTGCATTGCGAAAATGTATGATCTATGCAGTTCCTTGATTTTGTTATCCTTTCTTCAAAACTTTACATTTCTAATATGGCTATTGCCATGATAAATTTTGTTAATTGTAGTTCAGAATTACGAAATCGGAACATGATTTATTAGCAAAACATAAAATTAATACTTAGTACTTCGTACACTTATTATGAAATCAGAACATGATTTATTATTTTGCTATAGCAAAACATAAAATTAATACTTAACACTTAGTACCCTTATTAATCCAATTAGAAATAAGTTTACTTTTTCAAATACAACATTTTAAAAGCTTATTCTTAATAAAAGTATATTTATTTTATTCTAATCCCAACCAGTTTCTGATATTTAAAAATGAATATTGAAATAGAATATTTGAGAGCAAACTATTCATTGTTCATAGTGTTAATAACAAGGATGTTCTGCAGAATCATATACTCTCAAATAGACTCCAAAAATTCATCTAGAATATCTTGAATATATTGAAATTCCATCTCAATTATGCATTTTGTACATATGAAATTTTTGACCAACATTTAATTATAAAGCAAGATTTTGACATTTTGGATTATTTTTTTTCAATGTTGAATTAACAAAATTATTGATGATAAAAATAAACCATTATTCGTTATTATTATTATTATTATTATTATTATTATTATTATTATTTTTATTATTATTATTATTATTATTACCTTACCATTTCTATTATTGTTATTTTGTTATATTTTATTATTTTTCTAGTATTATTTTATCCTTCACAATTTTATTTATATTATTTATTCATTTTATTTTTATTATTTTTTGCTTATATTTTACATCAAATCATATTACGGATATTATTTTCATGTAAATTTTATCCTTTACACTTTTATTTATTTAAATTTATATTATTATTTATCATTATTACTTGATGTTAATAATTTAGCAGTTGTAATAATTATTGAAAATAAAAAAAAAAAAAAATCGTTGTAGTGTGGGGATCAAGCAGGCTAGTCATGATTGTAAAAAAACAATTGGACTTGTCATTTATATTTTTCATATCAGTAATAGTTCATACTTTATTATACATTACTACCACCTACAGTAGTAATAATATTTGTGTTTTATTTATTTAAATTTAATCAATTTAAATTCTGAATTAATTTAATTCTTTTTAAAATTGCATAATCAATGACCATAGTCTACATCCTGCTCGACTATTTTATGGTTATACAAAAACTCTATAAAAAAAATCTTACCAAAACCATATTTGTCACTTTTATTTATGTTTCGTTGTTCTAATATTACATATTTAATAAAAGTTCTAAATAAATATAAATAAATAGAAATGTAATGGGTATAAATAAATATCCTGATGAATATAAATAAATAGAAATGTAATGGGTATAAAGAGCAATATTATTCTGTAGTTTATTAACAATTAGTTTATATATGGAGTATAGAGTAAAGGTAGCATTTTAATAGAATAGCACTTGATAAGTGAGTTATTGATGTTTTTCAATATTTTTTTCTAAATATAATAAGTAGATTGAAGATGTGGAAAGGCTCCTACTATTTTTAACATACCGAAGGAGAAGTTTGTTTTCATAAAAAACTTTGATTCGCTAATTTTATGTTTTCTCGACGTTTCAAGCCATTCTGAATCGAATGAGACCAAATTTGGAAAAAGTATGTGTTTGTGTGTATGTGAACAGATTTTTGCCTAAATCGACGTTTGCTCAAAAACGGCTGAACCGATTTCAAAAATTTAAAAGCCATTCGATGTATCTTGATGAGGACTATCGTTTTGTCAGTTTTGAGCTACAATCGGCCAAACCGTTTCTTTGTACATTTTTATAATATTTGTTTTAAATACAAATAAATTTGTAATTTAATTCCATTACTATTTTAAAAAAAATCTTGAAAATCCTTGTATCACGAACGTATAGTATAACGTATAAATGCTATATAGCCGGCAGTGAGTTTCCGTTATTGATCCCGGTCGTGTTCGAAGAAAAGAGATGGCGACGGGGAGGTCAGAGTGGGTGTTCAGCGGGCGGCGACACCCATTCGTAGCGCCTCTATATTCGAAGACCCTGAAGGTCACATTCTGAAAACAAAGTAATGAAAAAATAATAAAATCGAGAAGAGAAATAATATATAATATATAAAGAAATAATAATGTATAAAGCCGATTGGCGTATAAATAAATAAATAAATAAATGTGTCAAATTGTAAAATGACGAAAATTTGTATAAGTACCGCATTTTTTTAAAAATTATTTTAATAACATAATAAATAAATAATTAATGTGCCGACAATCAGCAGAAAAATTAAAAAAAACACACTTTTATTTACATCCGTACATTTTTTTATCCAATCATAACAATTTTCTTTATAATATTCTTTATCTAATTTTATTATTTTTCTAGTATTATTTTATTATTCTGAAAATTTATTTATATTATTTATTAATCTTATTTTTATTATTATTTGCTTATATTTTACATTAAATCATATTACGGATATTATTTTCATGTAAATTTTATCCTTTGCTCTTTTATTTATTTAAATTTATATTATTATTTATCAATATTACTTGATGTTAATAAATTAGCAGTTGTAATAATTATTATTGAAATTAAAAAAAAAAAAAATTAATTTGTTTTTTTTTTCGGTCTCTTGATCTCTTTCTAGAGCCCATTGAATAGTTTCATAGTACTTCATATAGTGTTTCGTCCGATTTTATTTGTTCTTGTTTGTTAGATGAAAATTTTCGTTAATTTAAATATATAATGAATTGCCAAACGATATTAAGATGACCAATGATGACGACAAATTTAAAAGAAAAATAAAGAAATATTATAAGGAAATTGAAGATTGAATAGATATTTTAATTATAGTAAATATTATATTGTAGTATAATGAAATAGACAAATTATATGTATATATAAAATAAGAAAATTGTTTCATAATCTCTCATACCAGATACCCCTGTCTGACTGAGATATGAAAATAATATATAAATAAATAAATGAATATAAAAAAAAATTATGAACAACATATAGTAAATAAAAACATTGAACATGCTTAATCACATCATTTCGCGACTCCAAAGTGTGCAAAAATGAAAGTTTTGAAAGTGTATATGATGTATATCATTATATACACTTTTTTTTAATTTCAATAATTATTACAACTGTTAAATTATTAACATCTAGTAATATTGATAAATAATAACATAAATTTAAATAAATAAAAGTGCAAAGTATAACATTTACATGAAAATAATATACGTAATATGATTTGATATAAAATAGAAGCAAATAATAATAAAAATAAAATTAATAAATAATATAAATAAAATTTCTGAATAATAAAAAAATAACAATAATAGAAATAGTAAGATAATAATAAGAATAATAATAAAATAATAATAATGTTAGCGTTTACAAATTTATGAGATCATTGGGAATTTTTCGTTTAAGCCTTGTTGGGCTAATATACACTTAACATTATATAATTACTTTTGGCATGAGAAACATTCTTCGGCTTAATATTTTTAGTTATTTTCAATAATTTGAAATAATTGTGAGCATCAAATAGGCTCTTTGCAATTTAATATTAATATGTGGGAAATTATTAATCAAGTATGATCGCATATAATAATCTACTATATATCGTTATCATATTTACCTTTGCACTTGACACAATTGAAAATATCTCTGCATTATACTTCATTTTTTTGAAGTTAAAATCAATCTATATTAAAAGTGCACTAATACTAAAATATATTTCACTGTTTTGTTCGAACTGACAATATCGATTGCAATTGTTTCATTGCTGTCGGAATTGCATATGAGTATGGTGGATATAAATCTAGAGTTTGATAATAAGGAAATATAATACATTCATAGAGTTAGAGTTATTAATAATAATGAATGAATATCGATTTCTATTACAAAATAATATATTAATCTTTTTGTACAAAGTTGTTAATGTAACATATTATTTTCAAATCGCAGATTAGAAAAAAATCTCAAAATGATTTTCTTGAT